GTTCAGCAGGGTCTGCAATCAGCAGCTGGACTGCATCAACGGGAGCGATGAGGAGCAGTGCAGTGAAGGTAGGGAGGGGACGGTGCTGGGCTGGCAAATACCTTCCCCCACGCTCGAGCCGAGGCTGTCAGTAGTGTACTTCCCTCTTATGAGGTAAGGGCACCAGCTGGGAGTTAACGTGCCCAACCTGCTCACAATGTTTGCTTTGTAGCTGACCAAGCTTGCTCAGGAAATTCCCTGTCATCATTTAAGGAGTTCCCCCAAGCTCTCTGGTGCTTTTTTCCCCCCACTCAAAGGACTTCAGGCTGTGTTTGCAACCTGCCACCCTCCCTCATCCCTGGCTCCCCTTCTTCTTTGCAGGGGTTCCCTGTGGTCCTTTTACCTACCGCTGTGAAGATGGGACCTGTGTGAAGAAACCCAACCCCCTGTGTGACACCACTGCAGATTGCAAGGACCTGTCCGATGAGAAGCGCTGTGGTGAGGAAATGCTCAGTCACACATCAGCCAGGCAGGTTCAGGATGTCACATAGCTGCAAATCACCCCCTTTTCCCCCCACAACCCCAGCATAAGCACCCACCATCCCTTGTTCCACCACCTTCTCCCTACCCCAGCCCCATGACAGCAGTGCTCCATCCCACAGTGGCGGTGGCAGGAGCGACGAGCCAGCTCTCTGTGCTGAGCTGCCAAGAGGTGTTGTCTGCTCTTTGGACAGCTGCTCCCCAGCTCCTTCAGGCAGAGGCATCAGGCCAGAGAGACGTGTCTCACAGGCCAGGTCCTACCCACAGGCTGCCTGTTGAACCACTGTGCTGGCTTATGTGAAGCAATGCCATCCTACAAGGCTCCAGCCAGGGAAATCACCTGTGACTGCATGGTCATTGGCAGGGAGAGAGCTCGTGTTCTGATTTCCCTCCTTGGTATTTTTGGAGCCTTGGTGGGCAGCAAAGGGGAATGGCTGCGAGGGTTCCCTGACAGGACAGCAGATGATAGCACAGATAGGGCTCTGCCCCGACGGCATCCCCAGACTGCAGCTGGAGATGGGGTAAGGCTGTGCAGGCATCAGGTGGGGCATGGAGGGAGTGCTCGCTAGACCTGTCCTGGGCAGTATTTAAAGTATCTGCTGGCTGCATAAGGCAAGGGATTAGAGGTCAAACTCTTCAGTCAATTAAGTGGGAAAGGAAGGGCAGGCACAGTGTATCACGTTCCCTTGTCCTCTGAAGTACCTGCTGTGTCTCCTCCTCCTCAGACTGTGGCCTGCAAGCCTCTCTCAGCAGGATTGTGGGTGGTGCGAATTCTGTGGAAGGGGAATGGCCGTGGCAGGCCAGCCTGCAAGTTCGGGGACGCCACATTTGTGGGGGAACACTCATTGCTGACCGCTGGGTGGTCTCAGCTGCGCACTGCTTCCAGGATGAGAGGTAAGTGGAGAGGAGAGGGTACTGGACGGGAGAAGGATTTGCATTGCTTTCCATGTCGCACGTGATGGAAGGATCATCCAGTTTGTGAAAATGTCACAGGGTAGCTGTACTCTTCATTTGGCACCCGTGCCACGCTTCCCTGTGGCTTGGAGCTGGAGAAAGGGGTATGGATACACGCACTAGTATGTGGGCGTGCATGCAGGGAAAAAGGGGCAGTGCTGGGATTCACAGAGCCGTTTGAGAGGGCAATGGTGGTGGAAGACATGTCGCAGCTCTGCCTTTGCTTTGATCTGGGTTGTCCCTGTGCTGTCATAACCATGGAGGCATCAGCATGTGCTAGGATGGGGCCAGGATAGCCTTATCTGGGGAGGATGCTGTTTGGGTTCCATGCTGCCCACCTCCACAGCCTGTCCTTTTAGGAGGACGCACAGTCTCTCCCTCAGTTCCTTCCACCCAGTGTACGTACCACAACAGTGGTAGTAACATACAGATCAGAGGGGTTCACTTACTTATTCTTTCAAACTGAGAAGAAGTGAGGAGGAAGAAGGTCCAGAGCTGTGCTGGGTGACAGGGCTGGGTGAGGGAAAGATTGTGTACCCACAGTCCCAGTCTCTACCTCCTCTAAACTCCCCTTTTCCTCTATCAGTGAACCAGTGGGGATCCCCCACCTCCCCAGCTACTACTGCTGGACTTCTCCGGCTGCCCTTCCCTCCTGATGCCATGTGAGCTCAGGGAGGAGGAGCTGCTGGTCATCCTCAGTATGGTGACACCTGCCTTGGTAGGACTGGGGCTGCTTTGAAGTTGTGCTTCTCACCTCACCCTGCTCCTGCCATACTCCTACCTGTGTTCTACAACCCTGCAAGGAAGCCTACCAGCACTGGGAGCAAGCCTTTCAGGTGGTCCATGTGGGCTAAATTTGGCCATTTTGGAGTGTCCCAATGCAGAATGGATGGAGCTAGCAGAGCCCCGTTAAATGGTGTATGTATGTGCTTGTCAGGGAGAGAATTTAAGTGGTGTGCACTTGCACATACTTGCTTGTCTAACCTAGATACACCTTTTAGCCTGCTTTGCTAAGAAAAGTAAGCAAATACAAGCAAGTTGCCTGTGTGTAAGAGTGTCTGCCCAAAGTTGGTCCCACTGTACAAGCATATCAAGGCATCAAAGAGGTGTCCCACCTAGTTTCTTGAAATCAGTAGCCAAATAAAAAAGAGGTCCCTCTGAGGGAGATGATCATCCGTATTAGAGACTCCTCAAAAGACTGTGACAGAAGAAGCTAGGCTCTGCCCATCTTTCTCTGATCATGTGATGAGTTATCTTCTCTGCTGCATCCTACAGACTGGCCTCTGCCTCCATCTGGACCGTTTACTTAGGTAAATATTTGCAAAATGCCACCAGCCACACAGAGGTGTCCTTCAAGGTGATTCGCCTCTTCCTTCACCCTTATTATGAAGAGGACAGCCATGATTATGATGTGGCCTTGCTCCAGCTGGACCATCCTGTGATCACCTCACCCTTGATCCAGCCCATCTGCTTGCCTGCTCCTTCTCACCTCTTTGAGCCTGGCCTTCATTGCTGGATCACTGGCTGGGGAGCCCTGAAGGAAGGCGGTAGGTGCAAGATCTTTGCTGGTGGCCTACTGTAGCAGAGCCAAGGTGGAAACATAGGTTCAGATGTGGGGTAGGCAGAATAGACTTCTGTTCAACCCAAAGCATTATGCCACCTTCACACCCTTTGATTTTGGGTCACAGGTTGGCCAAAGATACCTGTTGAGGGCCTTGAAACCTCATTTGGAGAGTCAGGCATGAAAGTCTGGTAAGCTATATGGGGACAGCATGTGTTCCTTAATCCAAAGACTAGAATAGCCCTTCAGGAATTAGGGGTCTGACAGGGGCTATTCAACCATTGCCACAGCATGGAGCAGCCCCAGTCCCAAAGCCCGACCCCATGCCTACACAAACATGTGGGGTCCTGTTGGGTCGTTCCCCAGAGAGCCTGACCAGAGGGAGTTGAGATAAAAAAACCTGGTCTTCATCAAACCAGGACTGGGTCTCCTGGGGACACCTGTGTGCGGCCCCTGCAGCAATATTTTCCTCATGTCAAGAACCCTAGGACCTGGGTCCCCCCAGCAACACCTGCACTAGTGAATTCAAAGGCAGCAGTGCAGGGTCCCCTGAGGATCACACAGCGTAATTTTTAGCATGCGCCCTGGTACCATTTGACTATTTGGATCACGTAGCACCCGCACACTGCTGGGGCATAGCATGGCCCAAGACCTGTTTGCACAGGGTGGTATGGATTTGTCCATTCTGTTTTGTGAGGAAGAGTTTAGCTGTATGGGCATGGCCTCTTCATGTTCCCTCCCCATAAGGAAAACAAACAGGCCCAGGCTGTTCTTCAGTAGTGCCTGGTACAGGAGTATAGATGTGCTCACCTAGGTCAGCTTAGTGCCTTCACTCACACTCACACACTTGCTCCAGTTGCCTCCTGAAAGGAAACACTCAGGGGTCTATCCAGAAGTGGACACTCTGGTTTGCATACTTAGCCAGAAGAGCTTAACATCCATTTCAATGAGAAGGAAACCCAAAACTCTGATATCCCAGCAGTTTCCCCAAGCCAAAATCCCCCTCATCCCAAAAGCTGATGTGCCTACAGCATATCCCTGTAGAGAAAGGTACTGCAGGGCAATGTTACTCCTTCCATGCAGGTGAAGTGCTGTGCTGAAAGTCAGAGACTGCGATGCCAGCGGAGAGCAGAACAGTAATTCAGATGTCAGCTTTCAGCATGCAGTGAGATGGACATGGGCTGGGGGATCACAGTAAATGGTGGAAAGCTCCACCATTGCTCACTTGCACTGCTTTTGGTGCTCTACCCCTCAGGGCACATCAGCAATGTTCTGCAGAAGGTGGACGTTCAGCTCATCCAGCAGGACATCTGCAGCGAGGCCTATCACTACATGATTTCTCCCAGGATGCTGTGTGCTGGGTATCACAAGGGCAAGAAAGATGCCTGCCAGGTAACAGAGGAGTTGCGGGATCTGGGTTGAGTACTGGAGGTGGGGTGTGTCCCAAGTCTCCCAAATGCATTCCATAGCCTGACTCCCTCAACCCTTCCTCTGGTCTAAGTGGCCAACACAGATCTGAGGACCACTTCTTCCCAGCATCTTTGCCTTAGACAGGATCCGAATACACTTAAACTTCTCCTTTTCTCATTTCAGCCCATTCTCTGCTCTTTAGCTCCCACTTCTGAGGCTACATCAGCCTCTTCCCCCCTCAGCCTCATTAGCATCTCTCACACACAGTAACCTGTTCATTCCTTCATTACTATCAATCTCAAGGAATTTCTCTGTCTCCCATCCCTCCGGGTATCCAGGGATATTCCACCAGCTTCCTTGCTCTCCCTGTGTTGGGAGAAACCCCACATATATTGGAGTAGAAGGAAACAGTAGAGCTGTCAGCTTTTTGGGAACTGGCTAAGGGGGAGGAATTTACATGATGAAGGAATGCAACAATGGGTTGGATGTTTGCACTGGAGACTGTTTTTGACATTTGCCTAAGGTACAAGGGATGTTGCAGATGTCCCAGACATGAGTTGAAGGGGATACAGGAACCTGCATACAGAGGGACTCAAAGCTAGTGTAATCACCCAGCAGGAGAAGCTGGCAGATCATCACCACCCCATTTTTCTTTCTCTTTCTCCAGGGTGATTCTGGAGGTCCGCTGGCCTGCAAGGAACCCAGCGGCAGGTGGTTTCTGGCTGGTTTGGTCAGCTGGGGAATGGGATGCGCACGTCCAAATCACTATGGAGTATACACCAGGATCACTCAAGTGCTGGGCTGGATGAATCAAACCATGAGCTGAGAAAAGTGCATCTCTGCCTTCTCCCCATCACATGGAAGTCATTCCCAATCTTTCTCACTTGCGTCTCAGAGAGAGTTTCTGTGTGGGATGTTGTCAGACCCAGGATGCTCTTCTGAGCAGGGTAAAAAAAAGCCTGCAGTGGGGATTGTAGAGAAACTCAGGCAGACCCTCTTCCCCCTCAGTGGTTCCCAGGGAGCATCCCAAGGTGTTTGTAGGCCATACATCCAAAAAAGTTGACGGGGGGCGGGAGGGATGGAGGGGGACACAGACGACAGGACACACAGCAACAGTCCCAAGTTGATTGTTTCTGAGAAAAGGAGTAAGGGGACTGAACTTTCCGTGAACCATGTGATTCAGCCACAATCTTATGCTGGAACATTTGCTGAAAGAAAATGTGACTGATGTAGTTAGAGATTCCAGTAACTGTGAAATCAATCTGCCTCCCTCTTCCTTCCTGCTGCTTATCCTTCTTCCCCCTTCCCCTCCCATCACTCCTCCTCTTCCATCTCCCTAATTGCTTCTTTTCTTAGCTGGCGCGTGCTGTTCAGTGTGCTGCTCAGCTCAGCCAGGCAACTCTTCACGTCTCACTGATTCCCAGGCACAAGTCCAGCATCACACCCCCAAGCGCGTGTCCTGCCTCCCTGCTCGAGCAGCACCCAGCCTCCTCTCCTCCGCTTTCCTCAGGGAAAGGTCCCGGCCCCTCAGTAAAGTCATTTGGAGCAGCCTCCCATCCCCTTCCCTCAGCCCTGCTAAATACCTTTAACATGAAGGAGTTGCAACTGCTTCCATCTCCTAACTCAGATAATCCAGGAGGTGAAGGAGAAGGCTTAAGGGCACAGTGCTTAAACAGTGACTGCTATGGGTTTGGGTTTTTTTACTAAAGATATATATGTGTGTGTATATAAATATATATACACCCGATGGGCCACTCTCTAGAATTAGAAATAAAATTAATTTGAAGGGTTTGTTGGCTCTAGTTTGCCTTACTCTGTTAAAAATTATCTTGGGGCTTGTATCTTTTTGACCAAATTCCAGTCCTGGCACTGGTAAAAGTTTCCACACCCCTGCCCTCCCTCTCAGCTGTGTCCCAGGCACAGTGGGGTCAACATGCTGGCTAGATAGGTGGTCCTCACTTATTGTTATGACTTAGGGGTGCAGGTACCAGTAACCAAGCCTGGTCTGTAGCCCAGCTGCCCGCAGTGGGGATGCAGCACAGATCCAGTGGGAAGTACCTCCAGCCCCCCCAGAAGACAGGCATAGCACAAGCAGCTTCTGGTGGCTCCAGAATGAAACCAAACTCCCCTTCTCCAGCTCCCAGCTCCTTCTACCAGCCCCAAATTTCTGCCACTTGAAATGAGAGACAGCAAGGAGGAACAGACTGTGAATTTTATTCAGGAGTTACAACCTGGTGTCCTCAGACAGAGCAGTGAAGCAAACACCCCGCTCCCCGAGGCTGGGATCTCCTCATGCTTGCAGACATGACATCAGGTGCCAGCGTGTTCCCGGTACCCGGGCAGCATGCCTGTCTCCTCCTCACCCTGCCCACACAGGGCTGCTCTGGCTGACAGGGAAGGAGACACCAAGGAACGTGACATCCAGCACAGGGACACCCCGCGAGCAGTGGAGGTGTCCCAGAAAAGGGCAGTGGCTCTGTATTTTCCCTCTGGCCACAAGCCCAGACCAGCTACCTGCAAGAGCAAAAGGGCCAGGGCTGGTCCTACAGCAGCTGCCACCACCTCGGGGACCCAGTCGCATCCAGGGTGTTCAGGGACCGCAGTGGCTGATCACTGATGTCCCCAGCAGGGGCCACTGTGACATTAAGGAAAGCC